GGGGACTTATAGGGGAAACTGCAGCTCTATCAGCCGCCTGTTCGGGTCAGTGGTGACCTGCTTCACCTCGTTGCCATATTTGCAGAGGATTGCCACCATCACCTTCCTATGGTATACTTCATGGGTAGGCTTGCCCCACATACCGCAGGACTACAATTGTGGTTCGAAGAAAGAATTGACTTTGGCTCACCTGAAGCCCGTAATTTACAGTCGACCTCCTCATACAAATTGTACCACCTCGATAATTTATCCGCACTTTGTACAGTAAAGCCCCATTCTGCTTCTCAGACCTCGCATCTCCTCGGTAGCCAGGTCCCATGTAAGCGTTCCATCACAACCTGGTTTCTCATGCCTGTGGACTCTCATGACCTCATTTCACATTTCTGCTGTTTTCCTTTAATGTAGGAGTCTTTAAAACTCTTCGTTTGCCAGCCTAGGTAAATATACAACCTTTTATTTGCTTGGTTTACAAGTAGCAAAGGTTGTGACTGATATCCGTCTGCCTAGAATTGTTTTCTGTTAATGCAAGTTTTAAAACTTTGATTTACTTTTATGTTAACTTTTTAACAGAGAAGAATTATACTGTAGCCAAGCATCGTCATTATTTTTGTCATAAGAAGTCGATTTTAGTATGTTATAGAAGCTAGCAATTATGAATTAACAACTAGTGATTAAAACTAGACACTAGAAATACAAGGTACAATCTAAACAAAATTTATAAACAACTCATGCTGACAGATTTACAAATCATGTGCAAAGTAAAAGTGATAGTACACATCATGGATAATTACAACTACAGTGCACAGTTTATTGACAACATAAAGGACAACCTCATGTAATGGGAACAGGTTGTCCAAATGGCTTGCAGAGCACGCTAAATCCTCATCTTTGATGAAGATAACCAAACAGCTCCTGCAAAACAATTTTTTAACATAGAAATATATAGGAAAATTCTTTAAAAATCTTCTCAAGAATGACAAAGCCATAATTCATCATATTTATATGGGAGCATGCTCAGGTAGTGTAGATTCAAGTTTATTCAAATCATGACCCTCGGGGGTAGGCGGGGCCAAAATGACCGACCAAAGTTTTACATAGAAATATATAGGAAAACTCTTTAAAAATCTTCTTCCCAAGAATGACAAAGCCATAATTCATCATATTTATATGGAAACATGCTCAGGTAATGTAGGTTCAAGTTTGTTCAAATCATGACCCTGGGGCTAGGGCGGGGCCAAAATGACCGACCAAAGTTTTACATAGAAATATATAGGAAAATTCTTTAAATATCGTCTTCTCAAGAATGTCAAAGCCATAATTCATCATATTTATATGGAAGCATATTCAGATAGTGTAGATTCAAATTTGTTTAAATCATGACGCCCCCGGGGTTGGCTGGGGCCAAAATGGCCGACCAAAGTTTTACATAGAAATATATAGAAAATTCTTTAAAAATGTTCTTCTCAAGAATATCAAAGTCATTATTCATCATATATATATGGAAGCATGCTCAGGTATTGTAGATTCAAGTTTGTTCAAATCATGACCCCTGGGGGCAGGGCGAAATGGCCGACCAAAGTTTTACACAGAAATATATAGGAAAATTCTTTAAAAATCTTCTTCTCAAGAATGACAAAGCCATAATTCATCATATTTATATGGAAGCATGCTCAAGTAGTGAAGATTCAAATTTATTCAAATCATGACCCCCAGGGGTAGGGCGGGGCAAAAATGGCTGACCAAAGTTTTTGAAGATATATATAGAAAAATTCTTTAAAAATCATTTTCTAAAAAATAGCAAATCGATGATTGGTCAGGGGACTACTTTTGGATTTAAACTTTACAATAAAACGCCATTTTCTACTTTTTCACACCCTTAGTGCTCAGGTGAGCGATGTGGCCCATGTTTATTTTGTGATTTTGTTTGGCTCATAACTAGAAAACTATTAGACTTGCATTCATCAAACTTGGACAATTTATGCATCTTGGGTAGACGGTGTGTCATGACCTATGTCAAGGTCACTGTGACCTTTTATTTAAGTGATTTTTTGTTTACAAAACTAAGTCTTAAAAATTTCATAATCCTAAAAAATGTAAAAATATAGTTGTATCCTTATTAAAAAATGCTGAATTAAGTAAAAACTTATTTTTTCATGATATACTTTGCAGCAAATTCTGTAAAAATGTTAATGATTTGAGAAGAATTCAGTTTGTCCCATGGGTATAATTATCAAGCACTGGTCAAGGAGAATTTTTGATAGCAGAAATGTGCATGTCAAATTAGAGAGAAATTAATGAGTTCAATGTCGGGAGTTAACTGGCAAGAGTATCAAGCTGTATTATCTTAATTTATCTCCTGGGAGTTGGGCAAAAAGAAATGGCCTTATAGTTGCTTGTGTTAATTAAGAGTTCTTGATGGCTGTAGTTCAGATAAAGATCTTTCAATTGGTGTAATGTAATTAAAACAAATTGATGTTTTAGTTTATGATTAAAAGTGAATTAGTATTGTATAATATAATTAAAATTAATTATACATGTGTTCATTGAAAAAAAAAATACATTTCAATATTTATATATATTTGCAACAAATTGCAGTCTTGTCTCACTTAGAATTTTATAGTCTAAAGAATAATTATTAATTTTTGATTTTTTTTTTTAATTACACTGTAGCATTTCCATTATTTCATAAAATATGCAATAAACAATTTAAAGCTGCAGATGGATAATTGTTAAGCTCTAACACAGCCAGTTTACAATTATATGATGTACATATTATTTGTTTTAATTAATCCCTACACTGTAAATCACTTAGAGATGTATGTAAAATATTTTAAACCTGATAAGAAATTGAAAATAGATCATAAAAATCTGTGTCAATCTGTTAATGAGGTTACTTGATTTTCTTGCACCCTAACCAATTTATGATTATTGAACAATATTTGATTGGGGTATCATGCTGTGGCGGGGCACCTTATTAGACAATAGTGAACCTCTTACTAGATCCATAAAATATTTCTGAATTGGCACCTACTCTGAAAAAACCAGCGGGGGTATTTGTCCCTATTGGACAGTTCTAGTTGGAATCAAAATAAGCCTTCATTATTTTTTATAACTTCAACATGCTCTATGAATATTGTAACACTAAACTACCCATTTTTAGCTCACCTGAGCCGAAGGCTCAAGTGAGCTTTTCTGATCACATTTTGTCCGGCGTCCGTCTGTCTGTCTGTCTGTATACTTTTCACATTTTCGACTTCTTCTCAAGAACCGCTGGGCCAATTTCAACCAAACTTGCCACAAAGTATCCTTGGGTAAAGGGGATTCAAGTTTGTTCAAATGAAGGGCCACGCCCTCATTCAAGGGGAGATAATGGGGAATTAATGAAAATTTGGTGGCATATTTCAAAAATCTTCTTCTCAAGAACCAAAAAGCCAGGAAAGATGAAACTTATGGGGAAACATCCTCAGGTAGTGTAGATTCAAGTTTGTTCAAATCATGACCCCCGGGGGTAGGGCGGGGCCAAAATGGCCGACCAAAGTTTTACATAGAAATATATAGGAAAATTCTTTAAAACATCTTCTTCTCAAGAGTGACAAAGTCAGAATTTATCATATTTATAATGAAGCATGCTCAGATAATGGAAATTCAAGTTTGTTCAAATCATGACCCCTTGGGCTAGGGCGCGGCCAAAATGGCCGACCAAAGTTTTACATAGAAATATATTGGAAAATTCTTTAAAAATCTTCTTCCCAAGAATGACTAAGCCATAATTTATCATATTTATATGGAAGCATGCTCAGGTAGTGATTGGTCATGGGACTACTTTTGGATTTTAACTTTTCAATAAAACGATTTAAACTTTACTTTTTCCTACTGGTGATCAGGTGAGCGATGTGGCGCATGGGCCTTTTGTTACAAAAGTTATAGCTAGATAATGCACTGAACTTTTCCCTTTCTCACCGTGACGTCATAATCAGATGTGCACAAGAGTGTCGCCCAAATCATATAAATTGCGTACCCAGTTTTAATGACGTCAGCAAACCCGCGACCTACGTTAATACCTAGGAGCAGAGAAGATTTTCAGAGAATTCATGTATTTTCACTGTATAATCAATAGAGCCCCGCCCTAACACCAGAACCCCTGACCCTGGGGCCATAATCACAATTTTGGTAGATGTACTTAGTTAGTTTATTTATTACCCAGGAGCAGAGAAGAAGATTTTCGAAGAAATAATGCATTTTCACTGCATACTTATTTAGCCCCGCCCTAGCACTAGAACCCCTGACCCAAGGGCCATGAATTTCACAATTTTGGTAGAGGACTCATTGCTGATTACAATCATGCAAACAGTTTGACTGCTTGATGTCCAGGAGTAATGAAGATTTTTAAAGATTGCACTCATTTTAGTGGTTTTGGCCCCACCCCACAGGCCCCAGGGGGGCTGGGATCATGAAATTCACAATTTTTGTTCCCCTTCACCCATAGATGCTTTATGCCAAATTTGGTTGAAATTGGTTCCGTGGTTGCAGAGAAGAAGCTGAAAATGTTCAAATGTTAACGCACGACGACGGACGAAAACAGATAGCAATAGGTCACCTGAGTTTACTCAGGTATCCAAGAAATATAATTTTGATGGTTGTGAAAGGGAGTACCTAAATATACAGTATATTCCTTACAAAAATTAAGCACAGACTGCACATTTAATATTTTTTATTAGCTTTAAATTGGTAATGAGGAAAACAAATTATAATTTGAATCTTTACAAATTGGTGAATAGAGAGTCTTCAAAATGGCACCATTTAAGATCAAGTTAAGCAGTTTTTAGTGGAAAACATTTGATAAAAATTGCACTTTTTGATGGCCTTAGAGGCAGGAAAAGTAGCTTCAAAAATGATTATTTTCGTTTTCGGCCGGGGGGGGGGGGGGGGCTTGGACCCGCTGGGGGCCTAAGGCGGCCTCCAGACCCCTCGCCGATAATGGGTTTCCTGCTGTTCTTTAATTATTTCCTGCTATTCCAAAACTTAATGAAATCACTGATTCTTCGTCGCGAATTTGGAGTTTCTAATACATTTGTTGTCTACAAAATAATAACAATGGTCAGTGTAATGTAACGGGTGACACTTGAAATAACTTGTATTCTGAAGTGCAATAAACTGTAATATATTATTTACCTTTCGTACTTCTCCTTTTATCGATACTCGTGTTCCTTTTGCTTTGGTTTTGATTGTGGCTACATCTTCCACTTCGGGCTCAAGGAATTTCTTAACAATATCCTCATTGACATTGTCATCAGTTGTATCCATGATCTGCAACCATCACATTTTATAGAGAAGAATTACAATTTTTTTAAAACTACTGTTACATGTAGTGTGGATAGAAATTTGTGCAATTTCAGCTGGTTATGAAATTAAACCACTTGACGTATTTTTATAATTTAAAGTAACATGTCACTCTGTCTTACACAGTTATATGTATGTAAATTTACAATAAATGTTACCTTGGAAGCCTCATTCAAGGTCATGGTGCCATCTTGTTTCTGGCTGAATCCTTTCACAATAAGGGATTTCTTTACTGACTGAGTCAATTTCTGTACATGCTTCTCTGGCATGAATAGTTCATGGATTTCTTGATACTTTGTCATGCTTGTCAGCACACATGTTCCAAAGTACTGACCATTGGAATTTGATCTTACTTCTGTCCCTTCTAACACAAAAAATTTCTGCTGGGCTCCCTGATTCTTAAGTAATGGACAGTGAAATTGATAACTATCAGAATAATTTATTGCAAGCAAATAATGCAGCACTGTTAGCTCTAAACAGTGTGTTGATAAAGAGAAATTTTGATTTGTGTGCAAATTGGACTACTATTTGGGGTGTTAAAATTCCCCCGATATTTAACCTCACAAATGCTGGACACAAGATGATGTATGGGTCATTCTACGGATAGAGGCCCAAACGAACTTTCCGAAAGTCAGAATTCATATACCCTATTTTATTCAATTTTTCTGTGTTATTTACTAAATCTAACTTATAGGAAACCATTTCAACATGCAGCAGTAATGTTTAAAATATTTTATTGCTGATTTTGAGACTTAAACATACATACATGAAAAAAAAATTGTCATTACCGCAACAGACGACTAAATCGTCATAAAATATTGTTACAATATTAAACCAAATTTTTCATAGTTTTAAGTAATAAATCTTAGAAATATCTTACCTTCATGATTATTTGAGTGAAATATTCGCACATTATTTTTCGAACTGTGGCGTTAAATTTACGTTTTTAAAAAATGCAAAAAAAACCATTGGTCAATAAACCACTTGAGGAGTGTATATGATTATTTTACTTCCATTTCTACGGTGTGAGATTGCACGGACCCATACATGTTGATTAAACACTTTATTACATTTATTATAAGATTAATTGATAATTAATTGACCTATTTTCTCCTCGTTATGGTAATGACAATGCGTTGCGGTAGTGACAGTGCGTTCCGGTAAATAGTTTCGAGTTGTTTCGATCGAATATTTTCATAAATTATTCTATAATTTTTTTGTATCTTATCCTTCAAAAAAAACCAAATTTGGTATAAAGCAAGAATGAACTTTATTATATCAATTTAACTACAAACAACAAACTCATTTTTTTTTCAACCAGAAAGGCTACCAACAAAAAACAAACATTTTAACTTGTTCACCGTTGCAAAAATACGCACAAAATTACATTTACTGTAATAACTGGAGCAAGTGTTCATAATCGGTTTTTGATAATTGGAAGTGCCTACTACCCACCGGAGAAGGCTCTTGTATTTTGCAAACGACTTTGTTATGTTCATACCAAAGGATATCTGGCAGAAGGGGCCAAAAATATCGGTTTTGACCGATCTTGTGCATGACTTTAACCTCGAAGTCTTCATCGTCCACATCCTGAACGATTCCAGGGTACGGCACGTCATCGTACAGAACGACACACCACTTTCCAATCCAGTCTGTATCAGCCGAAGAGGGATTGGATTTAGTGGGAGGATCTACATCCGGAGAACTCACACGATCTGACACCGAAGTGAAGGTAAAAGCTGAAGGCTGGAAACACTCGCACGACTTCGGCTTAGCACAAAAGCAATTGAGTACCCACCCTCACCCTAAACTTGTGTCTCTCCTCTGAATAAACCTGTGAATGAGAATGAATGGAAGATAGTTTCTAAATAAATGGTCAATATTTTAATATAATGACTTGAACTCAATAAAACTACAAATATACTGATACCTGATGTAGCTTCATGGTCTGCGGAACAGAGTCCAGGTCTGATGGTATTATTCTATGGATCTCCTCAACATCTGCTTCACTAACTAAATAATATTGAATAGTCGAGTCTTTTTGCTGCAATGCAGTCTTCATTGACTTTGCATTATTTATACTTCCACCTTTAGAGACAAAGGTGTCTGCTGCCAGCTTCACCGATCCGCCAATACCATCTGCAGGGCCTTTCCCGTGGCCAGCTTCTAAGAAAGACCAGTTACCTACTTTGAAACCCCAGTCAAAGAGCAAAGTTGAAAGCAAATAAAAATTTGCTTACATCTATATTGGGTTGTGGGTCCATCGCTTACAAAATACACAGTGTTTATGTCTGGATATGTACTTCGCAGCAAAAGACAGAATTGGTTTTAAGTGGGCCCAGATAGCTGGGGGTCCATGTTTGTTAAAATCAGAAATGGTACAGAATCCCGTGCATGTGTCTTTGTAATAAAACACACCTGTATGTAGAGTGATCTGGTTTTGGTTAACACCAAAATGCACACTTTGGATTTCTCTGTCATATTTACACTGGTAGTTTTCTGAGAAGTCGATATGAATCATTACTTTGTCGCAAAGTTCTAAGAGCGATGTACTGATGTTAATATTGAAGAAATGGCGACAAATCTTCTTTAGATTTTCTTGGAATTCCTCAACAAGTGACATAGCACTCCCACTCTCATCTTCCCGCATTGTCAAGGATGTGACATACTTTATGTCCTCTCCTTGAACTCTCTTGACTTTTTCAACCCGTCGGCTGACCCATTTTTTCCATGTGACCTGTTTTCCAAGATCCCCGTCAGATATAATAACTTGTTTGTCTTCACACTGCAGACATTCTCTATACATACAAGCTTTGCTCCCGGTGTCACAACATATCTCTGCAGCGAGGGAATTGAAATTTGTTGAGGAAATAAGACCAAGGCCTTTGAGTTTATCAACTTGATATTGCAGATTTTCGTGTTTTATACATAAACATGTTTGGCGATCCTTCTCGGTTGCTTTGAGCACCCAAAATGGTCGGAACCTACAGAACAACGAGTACGACAACTTCAAGTTTGGAAATTCAGACAGAAATTTGTCATGGAGATTTCTCAAATCGTAATTCAAAAAAGCTTCTGTCTCTTTACTTTGTTATTGTGTCTTTCTTTCCAGGTGCTATCCTGCTGTTATCGTCGCGCTGAAGGAAAGATCTGACTGATCTCTGTATTTCATCTATCCTTGATCTGCTTCTTTTGAATAAGCCCTTCCGCGTTTCCATATTCCCTTTGTGATCTAAATTTCTCTTCCTTGAGAATCCAAATGCTTTGGCTGCATACTTCTTAAGTCGGTATTTTCGTAATAGCTTTGATGTCAGAACATTGACAAAAATCTCTTTACTCTTCCTTTCAGCAGCCAATCTGTATTTTTCTCTAATACCTTTGACCAGGCTGTGGTGAAAATGCAAAGTACGCTTTACTTCCTCCGACACGTTTTGTCCTCTGATAAGAGTGTTCGTTTTAGTTCTTGGAGAATCCAAATTTCTGTTTTTCACTTTTTCTCTGTAGAGTCTTTTTTTATATCGGGCAACATCTTTTTCCTTCTGTGCAAGTTTGATTCGTAGTTTACCAATTTCTCTGTATGCTTTCGATCTATTTTTCCTGATTTTCGTTCTACCTCTAGATGTTCTTCCGTCTTGAGGAAGCTGTTCGCGTGACAGATCTTGACTTGGTGAATTCGGAGGTGTATTAGTTGAAAGGAGAATTTCAGTCTCCTTATCCTTTTTTCTTTTGTTTCGTTGATTTGTTCTCCATTGTTTTCTTACTGATCGCTGACCTCTCTCTGACAACTCTTCTATATTTTTTAGTTTTCCGATCTTTTTCCTCTCTTGATACGTTTGCTTTTCTTTCTCCAAGTATTTTGCATGTTTTTCTGGATCCTGTTTCTGCTTTTCCCTCCATTTTTTTTATCTTTCTTTTGCAGTGAGTGCCATAGTTCAGGGTTTTTCAAGCACTTGTTCATCAGTAATAAAAGTTCCTTTGAATGTTCATATTTTTCATATGCATCAACGACTAATTTTGCCCAGTCAAAACGTAAGTTATCAGTGTATTGAAAGAGAAGAAGCTCCTTAAGCTTTTTTTCAGAAATCACCACTAAATTTTCGATTGCAAAGACGTTTTTCTTATCAAGTTTACTTTTATTCATTCCTAAAAATAAAAAGCAACAGGTTTTAATAAAGGCATGGATACGAATCTAATAATTTTGTTTTGACAGCCAGTGCGAATTAAAAGTTGTAAGGAATTTGTTAGAAATTTACTTCAATCTGAACATTTAATTGCATTAACAAGCACGTGCTTTATAATGGTATACAACCCCCTCCCCCAGTTATCATGCCTTATATTTTCCAAATTTATTTAGAAACAGTCATGGCTTGAGCAAAGTTAATTTTTAAACAGGTAATTCATCAGCATTTGAAAACAATTGTTCAAAACACTGTGTATTAGATGTAGGTTAGTACCAACTACATCCCAGGACTGGGCCCACATGTAGGAGTTATTTGTAACAACCTCTTATGCATAAAACATTATAATAGTGTTGTAAAATTCATGCACAAGACAATCTAAAGATTATTTGTCATTACCGTAACACTGATGTCATTACCGAAACGATTTGATTCAAGGGATTTGTTTCGGTAATGACACGTTTCGGTAATGACATTTTGAAATGTTAAACAGAATATAGAGGGCGCTACTTGCTAAAAGGAGTTAAATAATGTACAACACGATTCAAAACCAATCTATATTTCTTTCTAAACAATTGCATTTTTCCTAGGTGATCGTACTTTTATTGTAGCAAGCATTCGGTTATGACACTGAATAAACATACGTTTGAAAGTTAGACCATTTACAATGTAATATCTGCTTACTTACCCACAGGAGAGCGTTGTGCTTTAAACCAAAGATGGCGGTTTCTGAAACTTTTAATCACGTGGCTTCTTTTGGATTATCGTTCTTGACTCTTATATCTTGCAGTTTTATCCCGCCGTTTCGGTAATGACAAGAATATCAGGGACACCGATTTACAAACAGTAAATTATTTAAAAAAAGAATTTAGTAACCCGTATCTTTTTAAAATCAACAATGAATATTTTATTATACCTTAGTAATCTCGACAGGTTAAATTTTGACAGAAAATTTAATTTTCACACGCGCATATTCAATATTAAAAATTCGGTTTTGTAGTGTGGGACATGGCATTTCAAAGCAAGTCCATGACAGTAAATTTTTTTTTAGAAGTAATATTGCTTTCAGGGGTATCCTTATAGTGTGTATGCATATTTATTATCTCCTTCTACAATATTCCAGATTTATTTTTAAAATTCCATAAACCAGGCATCGCTCAAAACATACTAAAATGACGGGACACCATTTGGGCCTCTATTCGTAGAATGACCCGTATAGGAAAGTTGTGCATCAGTTCAATAGTGTGAAAATTCAGGGGAGCCATTTTCTGCGGATTATTTTATAATAAAATGGTATTGACTAATAGCGAGCGCAGAAAGTGGTGCAAAGCGCCACTCGTCACTGCGAGCTCTAAATGCAATGCTTGGGTGAGGAGATTGTATTGTATACTGTTCAAGAAGGAACCATGCAACTACTAAAAGGAAGACCTGCTCATTCAGCTAACAGTTGCTACAGAAAAATATTTCAATCACCACGAAATTTTTTGGAAAAGCAGGAATTTAGTATAACATTGATAATAAGCACAACAGTTACATAATACATATATAATTCACATATAAAGTGTGACATATGTAAATCACATGTTCAACACATGTTTGATATGTATAAATATACCATGTGTTTATTTTTACACATGTTTAACACAGGTGTAACATATGTTCAACATGTGTAAAAATAAACACCCTGTACATGTGAGCTCTTTTTATG